TTCTAAGTTGTATTTTAAAGCTGTATATCACCTTCATAAATGCAAACACTGCGATAAATGTTTTCATGCCAGATAAATAAATCTAATAGGTTACACAAGATTTTATTAGTCTGTTCTAAGCATACTAAAGCTTATATGCATCCAAATGTTTTCCTATTTTTCACATTAAAATTTACATGGATATGTTTACTTTTCAACTCATATTAAAGTATCTCTGTGGAATTTATAAAAATTATCAAGTAATTTGATATTTAGTTATAGTAAGCAATTGTTTCAGGACTCATTTTCATTGTAGGTTTTATTGATTTTCTACATTAAAGTAATTTAAATATATCTGAGGAATAGGGTTCACAGATTAATTTTTTAAAAAATAGGTTTTTACACAGTTCATTAAATACTTACTTAAGCCATATTAATATAATAGAAATTATTATAACAAATTGTGAGTATGAAAAGAATTTTAATCAAGAAAATAACTTTTGGAATTTCTCATTGAGAACCTTAGCTAGGTATTAGTAAGTCTGAAATTTTGTTTGCCATACAAAATTAGGCACATTATAAAAGTTCTATGAGCAGCTGCTTCCTTATCTATAAATGAGAAATGATTACAAAGATGAATACTTGAAATATTCAACACGTTGATATATCATGGACTCTCAATAAATCCTGCCTCATTTTTGTTCCTTCGGAAGAAATGTCTCATTACTTTTTAATTTCCCTTTGATTATAACCAGTATTATGACCCAAAGTTAAATTTAGATGATCTTGAACTATTTTCAAACCTAAAACTATGCCTTCAAAATATTGAATCCCGACATCATTAATTCTATTCATAAAAATGCCTGGAGGCTACTTTTTTTCTGAAAAGTAGCAACTTGAGAAGGTCACCATTTATTTACATACCTGAATTTTGTATATTTGTAAATTATGGTATGCTCTAATTTCTTATATATTGATACTTTATTTCTTGTATTCTCTTGATAAGTAGAGGTTTATACAAAATTATCTAAGTCATTAGGTATTATTAAATATGTCGTTAAACTTATCATTCCCAGATTACTGATCTACATAATATTATGTATTTTTTGTTTGAAAGTTTTTAATTAAAAAGAATTTTGTGTACATAGATGTGTTTTCTTTTAATGTCAACAATTATCAAAACTCTATCAAGTGATTTAATATAGTACCATATGACTGATCACAAAGAAATTACCATATAGTTGCTTTCATTTGCAAATCTAGATTTTAAAATGGAGTTTTCAAATCAATCAAAGTGTTTCATATTATTAAGTTTTATTTATAGGGTGATATATAATAAGAAAGTCAGACCTCTGTCATGTCAATAATGATAATTTCTGCAATGTTTTTGAAGAAATAAACATTCATGATTTCATGTCTTACAGTCAATCCCAAATGCTGGACACTTTGTGGTGAAAATTGAGTAGATGCCAATAATACTTTGTTAAAAACATAGTCATGGAGGTTGAGGCAGGACAATCTCAAATTTGAGCCTAGCCTGGGCAACTAAGAGACTTAGCTAGACCCTGTGTCAAATTTAAAATTAAATTAATAAATAAATACAAACAATCAGGGCTAGGATGTAGCTCAGTGTGAGCCTGGGTTCAATTCTCAGTACCTCTCAAAAGAAAGCAGCAAGGCTCATGTTCTAGCTAAAGATGTACTTAAAATGAACAGAGTATAAGAAACATTTATAATATTTTAGTGAGACATAAGAAATAACTTTCATCACCAACAAGATATTTTATGGAAAGGGTAAATGCTTACATATTTTGAACTTTCAAAGAAGATATGCATTTTTTATTCCATAAGACAGTGTTTTAAAATTCTCCATTTAAATTATTCTTCCCTGAGCTTTAGCAATAATTATAGGTTCATACTGAGCAACTCATTAAATATTGGGCAGAATACAACAGACATTATAGCAAGAGAGTTTCTGCACTTAGACCTGAGGCCAAAACTGAATTCAAAGCCAATCCCTTTTATTTTGAGTGTATATGATATAAGCTGGGTGTGTTCATGGATTAATGATACTAATTCATTTCTTTTATACAAATTTAAAAATTTATGTAGGCAACCTGTGAAAATGAAAATGACACTCAATTAAATGTTGTACTTCCCATTCCTTTGGAAATATATCTGTTTAAAATATAGGCAATAAGGGCAAGCATTGCCTTTCCCATAATAAATTAATGATGAAGGGAGCGATATCATTACTACATTGTAAATCATACAGTCTTAGGTGATTTATTTTCTACCTTAAACACCCAGGAAATTTTACTAGTTAGCAGCAATTGGTAATGCTTATTAAACAGCATGCTCCATCCCACATCTGAAATAAAAAGAGAATGTCAGGAGTAGACTAATTCTGATTTCCTTTTGAATATCATATTTTAATTTCTTTTATGTCTCTTTAATCTTTTCAGCAGTGCTTAAGACTTGGAAGATGTTGATTAAAGCATTTCCTCTGATTAATTATATTTTGGCTTTCAACTGTTGTATTTTATTTAAAAATCAAGCACACACACATTGTCTGGATTATAGGAGCATCTGCTCTTCCCAGTCTCTGCAAATATTTATATAAATCTCACTGCCACCCTGTGCTGTCCAAGTTCTCGCCGCTTGGCTAATACTGATTGCATCTCCTCGTTGAGCCACCTTCAGGATATGGAGACATAAATAAAACAGACGAACAGTCTGCATTTCAGGCATATTTGGGTACATGACTTGCCATTTTACTTGTGCTGTTAAGTTCTAAGAATTCATTTTCAAAACAGGGTTTCCATTCATTTTGCATTAATTATACATCTGATTATTATTAGCCTAGAAACTATTTTGGATAAAATGGCTATACCCTTATCAAGAGAATAAAATCAAAGCAAAAATTTAGAACTTTATTTGGAAGTTTGAAGGTAACACATACATGTTGAAATATTCTATATTTTTTTCTTCACCTTAAGAATTTTTCCATTTTAAAAATGTAGGCATGGGCTAAACGAGCGTATCAGAAGAGCTCCTCCACAGAGTGGAATGCTAATACTACTGTAGCTAAAGATCATCCTTCACCTGGGTGTCCTTAACTAATTACATCTTTCTTAGAAGGGCAGTACTTTAATCTGGGACCTAAGGTTTATTTCATGCTCTGATACAGAGTGAGAGACATCTATTTGACTTCATTTTGCAAATTGTCCTTTGACCGTGTAGTTTCTATAGACAGAATGATTTTTTTTGATAGTACATTTCTAAGACTGAGAATTTCTGTTCTTGCAGCTTTATGTAATTATGTTCAAAGGGGCTTGAATTAAAATGGAACAGATGCGTCCATCTCTAATTATGGTGTAACAAATTGTGTTACTCTAAGGCTTTATTAAGTGAAACGCTCATCTTTATGTAATAACGAGTCAGACAGTTTCAAAATGATATCAGTGAACACAGTATGGCCTAGTCCACATCGACTTCAAAGGACAGTGAAAACTCAGAAGATGTGCACATAAAACCAGGACAAACTATGGAAAATATACATATTTGCTTTTTATTCAAAGTGAAATAATTACCAGAACCATATGGTGAATCTTAATGTTATCTAAATAAGACAAAAAAGGTAACGTGTGACTTCCATATATATCTCCAAAGTAATGAGAATAGTCGACTCTCTGTATTAGAATAGACCACTTTATGTTTTCCTGAAAACCCTTTTGTATTCTTTTTTGTAAAGACTTATATATGGGTGGCCAAGAAAGGCCTCCCTGCACCACTTAGGCATCAGTACAACAAAACACTTTTTAGGTCCAAGTGGCCGCTATTTAGATAACCACAAAATAGCCAGTAGGGGTAGGTAGAAGTCTTGTTACCCAAACCCACGTCAGTGTTTCCATTTCTGTTGTTAGTATCACATCTGTTTATGCTCCTGGACATCCTCACTGTTTTATGTTTCCTTTCTGTTTTCCAAATATAACCTGTCATCAATTATTATTTTATCCCTGTGTTTTTCCCTTGGTAGACTTTCCCTTTCATTGTTATTACTCCCCACCCTTCCCCCACCGTCTCCCTCGCTGTCGCCTTCATACCCAATTATTGCAGCAGTTTTTAACAAGTACGCATCTCTCCTTTCCATGGTCTTCTTTAGATCACTTCCAGTCTAAGGTAAGAACTAACTCACTCAGGTTTGGTACATCATTTCTTAAAGGCATTGTAATAGGTTTATTATACAAAGCTGTAACTTTTGATCTGGTTTTCAAGATCAACCATAGTCTCTAAGCAACTCCTCACTGCTCACGAGGGTGAAACAATCTTCCTTTCATAAAGTACTTGCACTTCAGTGACTAAACCCAGTGTCCTCTGGTCAGGACTGTTTACTGTGCTCCACTCAAAGACCTTTATCCTCACCTCATGCTCTTTCCCTGCCTAAAATGCCCTGATATCCCTCCCTTTGTGGAACCCTTCGTATTCCCCTTCCCTCTCCTCACCTCTTCCTCCTCCTCCTCCTCTTCTTCTTGACACAGGGTCTCACTATGTAGCCCAGCCTGGTCTCCAACTCACAGAGATCCTCCTGCCTCAGCCTCCCAAGTTCTGAGATTACAGGCATTCACCATGCCCAGCTCTTCATCTCTCTTGAAAGGCCAGGTTTTCCATGATACATTTTTTGTCATGTGTTTTCTTTTCCTTTCCAATTCAATTTAGGTGAGCATTCTGCTTTCCAGATTGACTTGAGTCCTCATAAAGATCTTAATCTTCTTGTGAATTAAAAATATATTTATAGGGTGACTCCACTATGTGAATAAATCAGTTGATTAATTCACATGCCTTCTTTGAAAGAGTCACTGCTAGGACTATAGTATTCATTATTGAGATGGATGAGGGGCAGGAAAATAAATTGGATAAAACAGAAATTTTGAGAAATAGCAATTTCATTTTATTGTAACATCAATAACACTTTTGTTCTCAGGGAAAGAAATGCACTGAATTCAAAAATGAGGGAAAAAATTTACTTTACAGAGCTGTAGTAAACACCAGATGTTGAAAGAGAAGCTCAACCGCCTACCTTTCAGCTTTCATCTTTAAGATGACTTGCAACAGGGCCGAGGATGTAGCTCAGCAGCACAGAGCCTGCCTGGCAAGCATGAGGCCCTGAGTTCGATTCCCAGCAACATTCCCCCAACCCCAAAATGATGAATTGCAACAAAATAAACATAAATAAACCCTTAAGGATGGTGAGAATTCAGAGCTCCAGGTTTCACAATAGAAGACACATCCAGAGAGGCACTGTCAGTATATGTAGTCACTATCCAGAGGTGCGCAGCTCCGGGTGCTTAGGCTTACAATGTGCTCCTGGTCACTCTCCTTTGCTTTCCCTTCTACTCTTCAGTAGATGAAGACACAGACACTCACGAGTCAGGCAAAGGCACAAAGCCTGATCTTCTGGGTCAGCTAGGTCAGCAGGGGAAGTGGTCCAGTTTGATACTTCTGCTTTCCTTGAATTCTTATTGGAGAACTAAGAAAATGATTAACCTTGATAAGTTAGAAACATGACAGAGTTAAAACCCAGTTAATTGTTGTAAATTAGAAAATAAAGAAATGCTTGTCAGTGGGTTCACTTAGCTCATGAAGTGCATTTATAACCTGAATTTCACAGTCAGTGCTCTGTATCCATGGGTTCCACATCCACAGATTCGCCAACTACAGATAGAAAATATTCAAAAGTAAAAAAGTGCATCATTACTGAACATATCAAGATTTCTTTTCCTTATAATTATTCTCTAATCAATAAGGTATAGCTAGAGGATCAGATTTAATATAAAATACACACACACATACATGCACATATATATATATATATATATATATATATATATTTACAAAGTAGGTTTATAATGGCCTCATGCTGAGTTAGGTGTGGAGGAATGTAAAAGGGCCATCTGTGTGAAGGAGACCCAAAGAATTCAGTCACAACCCAAAGGTCTCTAGCTCATTGCAAAGTCCCATGAATGTCCGTATTAGGAAGCTAAAGGGTCTGTGCTGAAAAACCTGAGTTTGGTCGGAAGGCTGAAGATGAAAGTCCAAAGCCACTGGCGAAGCCTGGAGCTCTCTGAAGAAGCAGAAGCAAGATCTGCTTTCTCTTTCCCTTTTTATTCCACCCAGGCTACAATCCTACTGGTTGGTGCCACCCACACCCAGGGTGGAGCTTCCTTCCCACTTCAGTAAATCCTTCATCAGACACGCCCAGGAGTATGCTAAGCCAATCAGTTGAGTGTTTCTTATGCAAGCTGACATCACAATAAACAACCTAGAAGTGACTCAAAGCATATGGACAAGTGTGTGTAAATCATATTCAAATACTGTGGCACTTTATACATAGAAGAGATTTGAGTGTCTATGGATTTAGTATCTTCAGGGATCTTAGAACCAGTGCTCCATGGATGCTGAGGTATGTAGATAACAAATATAAAAATTTTCTAATCTTTTAAACAGCAATTCAAAGAAAGAAAGCCTTATTATAAAAATGTGTAGACAGGAGATGGAAGTTAAAAGTAATATATCATAGTAGGGTGATAAAAGTGAATTATTTTTTAGATAAATACATATATTTTTGTAGATCACGTAATGTTCACAGTGGGCATCATAACTTCAAAGAGAAGGTTGATTTTCTATATTCTGTTTCTGTAATTTCTAAATGATTATGTTTAATATAGGAAATTCTGACAGAAACAGCAACACAGAACAAAAGTTACTCTTAATCCTATCTTTACTGATATATAACATTGAATAGCTGCACAGTCTTACTGGAATTACATTATATTATACAGAATATTGTTTAATAAAAAATTTCATTTAAAAATATACAGCTATTTTCCATATCAAATATTACATTAAACCTTTTATACTCAATACAGAACAATATTATATTTAAGATAATTTCTAATTTCCCTTATAAAGTGGCTAATTTAGTTGCAAAGCCATATTTAACATTATATATTTTAATAAGTGCTAAATTCATTTTAAAATATGGATTTGAAAAAATCTCATATTTTATAAAACATTATTAATTTTTTATCCATAAACATCTTCCTTGAGTCACCAGGTTTTCAGAGTGCATTATCTACACTTTTGGATCTGTTTATGGTGCTGTTACAGGAAATTTTATCTCAAGCCATGAATATCCACTTATATGCTGTTAAGACCTTTAATATTTTTGTTAATCTCCACAATATAATTACTTACTCTATTGCTTTTAAATTCAGTCTTGTAAAGGCAATATCCAAAGTATCCAACGCTTGGTATTTTTGTGACCAATTCCAGAAATATTACTAATACATGCTAATTTTCAGTGGTCCCAATTTTCACTGTTTTGATTATGTTAATGCTCATAATCAATCTAAACCTATACACACATAAGACTAACAGTGACAAAGGAATTTTGGCATAATGTCTATACCCCATTCCTTAAAATACTACTCCAGACAAAGGAATGAAGAGAGCACCCTTTGAAAAGATTGATTTTGAACTAATTCACTTTTTCTTGAGAGCCCATTTTGGGGAAAAGGAATTTATCTTATGTTTGAGCATATAGGTTACAGGAAAGCACTGGCTACATCATGTGAAACGGGAGTTTGAGATTTTTTTGTGCTTAGAACTTAAAAGCTTTTTTTTTACTCTATAATTTGATGATTAGAGTTTTTTAAAAGATTGAATCTGAAAGTGATTTTGTAGCTTAATCTAATCCTTTGTTTTGTAAGTGGAGAAGTAGTTGGGGCTAAGAGGCACGTGACCCTTTCAAGCTCTCCGGACATTTGCAGAGTTCAGAGAGGCAGGACTCCGTGTGGACAGTCCAGTGCTCTGTTCTCAGCATATTATTAAAGTATAAAGTTATGCATAAAGCTCATCCACCCTAAACTTATTCTGGAAATTTAGATGCTGGAAGCTTTATATAAACTGTATTTCAGGATAATTTCTCCTCAAGTTTCTCGTAAGAAATCCTACACTACTTACTTTCTTAGAGAATGAGGACAAACTTTTGTCTTTTCTCCTGAGAAAGGTTTCCTTTATTTTACTCCTTTATGTAGGAGAAATTACTTAGATTGGATAAGCTTAAACTCCCCTCCCCTCAAGTCTTTCAACTCCCATATCTGGATCCTTGAAAGGCATTTGTTCACTTATCCATTCAGCAAACATAATTATTGAATCAACTGCTATTTTGCACTGACATGGTGCAAGACACAGAGGGAACTGTTGTAAAAAGATAAAATTTGTGATAGTTATTAGGACTCTCTTCAAATTTCTAATTCTTCTTACTTATGTCATAATTAAAAGGCATTTGTCTACTATCAGACATTGCCAGTCGATATGAATTTATTTCTTGCTTTTCACAATTAAGTTGTCTGTGTCCGACTTTACACAACCTGTGTCTCCCTGCCAGGGAAGCACACGTCAAGAGGCTGCCAATGCTAGCCTGCAGCCCTCAGTGGCCACAACAAACACAGCTGTTCTCTTGGCTGATTGGGCAAACGGGATGAGGGTATTGAGCTGCTGAGGTCTTTCTTAAGAGTTCTACGGCAGTTTC